GCAAATAGCAAGAATTAAAATATCCAGCGAAAAGTTCAATTAAAAAGGGAATAAGAACTCATTTATTTTGGGATAATCCAATGAAAATTGGGATGTCGTATACGGGGCTCAAATTCTTTGTTCATGCAAGGCTTCTAGAATGGGTTGGAAATAAATCAAACAATGGCAACAATCTAAAATGCAAAGTCTCCAGGTGTTAATTGAATAAGCATGCGAACATATGACTGCATGTTCGATTCCCACGAAATTCATAGTAAAGTCAGTCGGCACGGGTTTATTTACCGATATTGCTATCATGATTCTTAGAGTTGAAACATGTTGGATTCTACAGTAATCAGCGAGTTTAAATTGGCAAATCTGCTACACTCTTCCTATTTGACCTAAACTCTCTTTGGGTATCGATTAAACACCTCAGATCTTTTTCTTGGTCGCCAATGATTTGGCATGTAATTAGTAATAATATGAGATGGTCCTTTTTTATTGCATCTGCTATTACATCACGAATCAAAAATAGAGTACAAATAGGTTTTAAATGAAACAAATTCCTATTGCAGAAGGTTTCTTAGAGGTCCACAAGCACTCTATAATAAGCTGACAATGGATGCAGATGTAGAAGGAGGCGAAAGGCAGCACCATCTACAGGACTATCAGTTTTTGACTCTGACAGCGTGCTACAGGGCACTGTTATTCAACCAGTGGGATTTGGATTCACAAGAGGCAAGTATAACATTATCGAGAAAATATTGCAGCAAATGCAAATGTTGTTCATACAGATCAGAAAATTTTCAAAAAAGAGCTCCAATGAATGAATTAACAAATATTTTCTTCAGACGATTCTTTTGTCTTTTGATTTACATTGCACATTTGAAAAAAGAAGTTAAGAATTCTATGAAATTATCATATCTAAAGCATTCGAATACTTAGAGCAAGAGCGGGTCAGAAACCGACTGTAGAAAAGGAGATATTCTAAGAAAATTAAAGGGACTGCACGAAAGCGCTAATATTAAAAAAACCTTACGCTTTCTGTACGGATTGAAGAGTTTCCATGGATGTGGAAGTTCTACATTCCCTATTAGTTGTGAGAAGATGTATGATAATCCATTAGAAGTAGAAGAAACTAATACTGATAAAAAGACATTCAGCCCATGCATAGCTCTCACATAGAATATATGAACCACATGATTTTCTGCACATCCCGATTATTCTACTTCCGGAATCGCAGCATTTCCGGAGATATATTTGCATTTTCTCATGGGAACGAAGAAATCTTCTATCTTTCTTCATTCACCATAACTCTATCCGTTTTTTTCGCGTACCTAAATAAGATTACAAAGGGATTTTCATGAGGAGAATAGGACAAATTATATGCGATTGAGATAATTCGGTTATAGGACATTTCAGCAATGCTGCTGAAAAATGCACCTACGATGACACACAATCATCTCAGCGTGCAGAAATTTTTTTCATAAAGAGTGCCTTCAACCAATTTCAATA